ATATATATATATATTATAATCTATATTGAACGGAAAAATTTAAACAAGATATAATTTATATGTTGTATCATCTGTGCAATACGTCAAAGTGTTTCCCTTCTAAACAACTATGTATCTGTATGTAATCAACCTCTTTAGATTCTTATTTTGCATGTTTTATTTGCATCTTGATCGGAACAGAAGCATTGGTGACCAGGCAGCCATGTCTTTATTTCTGAGATAGAAATGTACAGATAAGTGTGGTCTTGTCGTAATAAGGTTCTTCCTATTTTCTAGTTTGATTGATTTTGTTTCCAACCTGAGCTTTCAAGAAAAAAGGAAAACCGAACGAAATCGGATATCTATCTTGTTCTTTTTAAACACGTCACTATTCTAGGCATTAGCTCGAAATGGTATGAAGTGTTCATGAAAATTTGCTACAGGATGTGTTTACTGCCGGCATGATTACCAATCCAGCGGAAAAGAGGAACGAACAAAAAAAAAGACCAAACTTGAAGAGAACTCCTTCAGATGTTGCAATGGTGGGTGCAAAGACTCCTCAAGTATATGGTTATTATTGAACATTAAAGACAGCTTCTGAGAAAGGAAAATAATGCATATTGACAATGCTTTGTCCTTAAATGACGACAACATTGTTATAACTACTCACATTTAGAAATAAATCTCGAACTTCATCACATGATGACGGGGATGTTCCTCCTTCGCGTGTTTCAAACGTAATATTTGCCGTTTATTTTCGTTTTGTCCCTAATGACTAATTAACTAATCATTATCACCTAACATCACCGGAGTAAAACACTTTCTTTTATCTCTATTCCTTTGTATTACGTCATTGATTTGTGTATGTGTTGTAATGATAATTAGTCATTGTTTTAATCGAACTTCCTGGTACACCGTGTACCCGGGGAATAGTTGTAACAGCTTCCCACATCAATGAATCAATTCAGTTTGTAATTGATAAATGAAAGTTAATCTAAAAAAGTCCTGTAAATGCCGAGTCGTATTATTCACTCTTCTCAAACAAGGCCAGAGCGCGTAGTTTTCCCTCTTATCTGAATGATTTGTTTGCCCATGTGTGTTAACAATACAGCTCCTTACAATTGGCTGACTGCATAACTATTTACAGCTAATCATTTCCGATACGTACTACGTCTTAATCTTCCATTACCTTCTTCCCTGATGCTATAGAAACATTTCCAAGAGAACCTTGTATTTTAAACGTTTTCGAACTTGTAGCGGAATAATAATGAACATTGAAATGTTATACATGTATCCTGATCTGTCCCTGTTAATCTATCCTCCCTTAGATATGATTCTCGAATTTTCAATGTTATACGCTATCAATTACTTTGAACAGTTAACTATCCCCCTCAGACTTGGGTTGCAAGCATCTCTGAGGTTTCCTTTATTTGTTTCTGGTTTGTCATCTATCTCATCTAGTGATGAAATCTTCGTTGATTTCTTATTGACACTTTTCTCACATAGTGTGACAGCATTCATAATAACAAAACACAGGTCCTCAAGTTATGACGTTTTGTCATTCCATGGTCAAAGTGCTCGAACCGTACAACAGCAAATAATGTTACTATTAAACAAATACTTTACGGATAAAGTACCAGAAACTCACAATAACAAATATATACTTGATAAAGAACGTTTTCATTGTATTCATGTAGGGCGTTAACTTAACTTAGTTTAATTTAATTTATTTTGAATTTATTAGTTTAACATTTTGTTTTCCCTAATATATTGCCCGAACATTGAAATGAAACATATTGGTACATTATAAGACATGGGGCGTGTATGGTTTTTATTGTCAAGAGATAGAATACGAACAGTGCAATAACAAATAGTGTTACATTATGAATGGTTTGTTTAAGTATTTCGTTGTCGAGATGTACGTGTACTACTCACCGTACAATGATAAAGTATAAGTACAGTGTTTTAATATGGCAATGTAATGAGAAATACTCAAACCATATAATGGTTAAAATTGATTCATGAAAAAGATGGTGTTTAACATATGTTCATGGTGTTGTACTACTTCAGAACTGGAGTACTTTGACATTTCATTGTGAAATATAGCACTCTTATACTGAATGTGCTATGGTTGTGTCATACATGTTCACAGCTTACATAACTGTTTGCAGATTGTAAATGTCCCATAAATATTTTCAAATTTAGACTTATGTAGGTAAAATCAGTTTGATATGAAAATTATCTTTATAAAATTGTATCTTTAATTAAACAGTTTAAGCTATAGAAGTACACATATCCTATACAATGTGGTTTCCTTTGCTATCTAATAACAATAAATCAATTGGGTATTTAACACCGTGCAAAGAAATTGTTTTGCATTGTCGAACATTTACAAAGTAAAAAGATTAAATCTTCTCTAAAGTAATACGAATACTAATAGTCATATTGTAGAGATTAACAATTTTAGGTAGATGTATTTGAGATAGTGCCAGTGTGTGTTATTGACATCACTGAATTACATGTAGCAATACAACATCCTCTCCGACGTCTCCACAGTAAATACAGATAACACTAACAACGCCTAGGATATGCGTGCCATATGTTTGATGGCTATGGTTGGTGTGATCGAAATTGACTAGGGAATCAGGTGACTTACTACGTCATATTGGTCACTCACTATGTTGTATAATACAACATGTACTGCAATAGGGTTGTCCTAGTCTGTTATTGACCAGCGGTCAGTTTACATGCACTTACAACTATATATCAGTGTCGAAAGTGAAATATAGGTTATCAGTTGTCTAACGTTTGTGTTGTCTTTCATTCCTTATATTTAGTGTCAGTTTTTATCGGGTTCATGTATATGGTGTCAGTTTTTATCGGGTTTATAATGTAGTTTCTTTGTTGTTTTGATGTCTTTTTAGTTTTTGTTGTCTTCCACATAAATGTACACGTTAGTTCTGATTTAGCTAGAATATGATGAGCCTATGGTAAAAATTGTAATTGTATTTGTAATTTTATGGGCGGATTGGTCGAGTGGTAAACACTCCGGCCTTCGACGAAGGCGGTCGGGGTTCGATCCCCGAAGTCGTCTTACGAGTGGAATATTCAGAGAAAGTGTTTTTCTCCTGCCAACACAACTCCAACAACACATGTGGAGTATAAATTCGTCTGGGGTGGATGTTGCGGTATCTGTGCTGTTGCAATCAATTGAGGTGGCACTATAAATGATACCGTTGGAAGTACGGTCCCACTACAAATAGAACACAATGCATCTCCAGCACACACGCAGGCATACACACATAGGGAGATATTAACCACGTGGCACAGGACTAGTAGTTAGCGCATGATAAGGCTGTTCCTGCGAATTCCTCAAAATTGTATTGATTGATGTATATGCTAATTGTATTGATTGTATAAATTGTATGTATATATACTGTAAAGTGCTTTAGAATGTAATTTTCTATCTACGCTCCGGTACATATTATCATTTTGTGACCACGCTGTCGTATATGTCGTTTTGTAATATTTACATCTCTACTGAACTTGGACTCAATATACCTACTTAACATTTTAAAGGTTATTTTCCAATGATTTTTTTTAGTTGGCGTATGAATACATCAGCATATTATCAACCTGATTACTCTGTTATTCCACGGAGCGCGGAAAGTACTTGCATTCATAGATTGTTTTCAATTAAAAAAATTGGCAGAAGTATATATTGTGAACGATATTACAAAGCTAACTGTGTACCAATCACGGAACATTTAACTGAAAAACACTGCTACTAATTGCCATGGGGAAACTGATCCGCAGATTTATAACAAGAATAAAAGAACCAACATTTCTATAAATATTTGTTTAATGTTTCATTTTTACATCTATTAAACCAGAGAGCGCATGTGACCATAAGCACCGCCTTTCACGTCTCCACGGTGTATATCGTCATTAACACGTACTTTCAGTTTGTGGTATTAACCGGAAATGACCGATCGTTCCGATGTAGTCCAAATATATTGGCAGAAACATCCATCCTTATATCTAGCTACGTCTGTTTATATTTTAAAGTCAATTTATGTTGCTAAGCAGACATACCGCCCATACCACCCATACCGCCCATACCTCCCATCATATTAGCCATACCACCCATTCCGCCCATCATACTAGCAAGTCCGCCCATACCCGCCATCCCTGGCATCATCATGGACATCATAGGGTTGAAACCGCCCATACCCCCTGCACTCCCCCCACCGGACTCCATCATGTCAAACATTGCAGCCTGCATCATCATATTAGCCATAGGATTTACACTGTTTCCACTGTTTCCACTGCTTGAGTTGGAAGTTGAACTTCTTCTTCCGGAATTCGATGAACTTTGACCCCGATTGTTGTTCTGGTTGAGCATGCTCATCACAAATAATGGATTGTCCATCAGCTGTTGCATTGCTTGCATCATTTGACAATGAACTGAAATAAAATAATATAGGTATTACTCAACCAACTGGTTTGAAAGCGACTATGTTAAGATGAACTGTAGGTAACAATAGGTTATGGATTATCACTCGACGGTTGTATCATTGTACTATTTGACAAAGAATCCTGTCGTTACGGTCATTTGATATTAAACTATAAACCCTGGTTTATGGATTATCGTGCAGCTGTCAGTAACGTGTGTCGGCCATATTTATTTGTCATTGATCTCTATGTTTACTTCTACAGTGACGCAAGGTCAGATCTTTCGATCACGTTAAAGTTACAAAATATAGAACAAAACGGTTAATGCAAAAAAAGCAGCAAATCGTTGTGTTGGAATTATTGTTGTATTATCGTTCCTGATGTCATGACAATCAGAGTCCCCCTACCTCATGGCATTGCACCTAGATAAGCGATAGGACATGGCTAGATATAGCAGTACAAACTAAACATGGCTTCATAAGGTGATTTGCACACTTTTATAAATATATTTTTGTAAAACAGTACCGATAGTACAACATGCTATATTTGTGCTGATGCCTAGTAAACAATCGTTTGCACCTGTGCACACCTGTCACATGTGTATTCGTACACGGGTGTTATACCGGTACGTAACATTGACACTAGACAATCGTGAATTGCCTTTTCTGTCAAAGAGCCTCAAACCTTCACATACGTAGGCAGACCAAACACTCTATGGACTCTGTGTTCTCAATTCACCTTTGTAAACGCCCCACGGTTATTTGACCTCGAGTTCATCGTTATTTATATATCGTAACAAGATGGCAACGACGTATGCAGAAATTAACACAGCTATATATAAATGACGCAAAGGACATGTTCATGTCTGACAACTTATGAAATGTGTCATATAATCCATTACGATAACCTCAAGGGGATGTAGATCAAGGACAACCTTAATGTAGTTGTCAACTCACGCGTATATCAGGAATAGCCATGAAGGAGATTGGGAGGTGGTGCGATTATAGGTAGACGGGGTGGACCATACTGAAAGCACAGCGTGGCAAACATACCAATAACACCTTCAGGACACTCGAGTTTGCGTATCCACATAACTTGTTACACAGATGCATGTTTTGTTAGCTGTTTGCTTTAACACCTTGCAGGTAATGTATTATCTCAGGTTGGATATATTCTGCACTTGTTCAATTTTGGTTGTTAAGACGGAACTCAATCAAAATCAAGAATAAATAGGCATGCTACACAATATTTTGCGAAACTGTAAATATAATTTCTTTTCTATTTTGTGAATAAGATTAAAACTTTATTTCTGATATAGCTCAATGTTGTAAAATGAAAGACCCAAACACATCAGCTTTGATACATGTAAACCTTAGAGGAGAAGGTCCAAAGCACATTTGCTCCGTTACAACTTATTTAAAGAGCAATGGTTCAAAGCACGTTAGTTCCGGTATAGTTTAAAAGGAAAGGTTCGACATATATATAACTGCTCGTTTGTGGGAACCTTTAAAACACTTGTACATCTACTGCTGCTTAAATTATAAACGTTATGTTCGAAACACCATTTTTAATGATAAATCTCAACATTGTTGGAAAGTTTTCAAAACACCATTATCTTTATCATAACTCAACTTTGTGGGAACACGTTCACGTAAATAGCGCTGCTAGTGATGGTTCCCTTGTGTTTGTTTTATTGTGAACCGATCTGGCGATACATCAGATAGCCGCAATACTGTGGAATACTGTTATAATAGGCAGTTTTCAGTGATAGTTAATTTATTGAAGGAACGGATATTGTCATCTGTTCTTCTGATAAGGTATTGTTATCTTTATTATATCATTTCAATTTTGCAGTATATCAAGATTGTGTAATTATTTTAAATGTTACCCTTGACGGCAATATTGCAACCATTCGGTGCTTCGATGTAGTTTTAGGTGTCGGGGAACTTTATAAACGTAGTTCGCTATGTAATATAGCTAAATTGATGTTTCGGAGAACTCGCCATGTGTATACAGTGCATATTTATGTTTCCCCAGTGAAATTATTGTGATTTTGTGTAATAGTAAGGCAATAATAAGACATAAAGGGGAGCACGATTAGACATAAAGGGAAGCACGATTAAACATAAAGGGAAACACGATTAGACATAAAGGGAAACACGATTAGACATAAAGGGAAACACGATTAGACATAAAGGGAAACACAGTTAGACATTAAGGGGATTATGTAAACATTCACGATGACATAATTAGTTATATAACGAGGGATGCAGTAGTATAGTATGCTTATAAACACATCCTGAAGCTATTTAGCACGGATTTTATTCATTAAAAGCGACATCTTTGTATAGTGTTGTACTGCAAGCATTCGGAGTGTTCTCTTTCATTAATTTGATGTTCATATCAATATTTAATTGAAGCTTCGACGTCATATTCAGCTATGATTCTTTATCAGACTTTACATGTATTTGATATTTTTTAGTTTAGAGTCTACCTCTAAAACAGTTTCAAAGTGATAGTTTATTGTAAATAGCAGACGCTATCTCTTCATGTTCTTTCGGCAAATAAAAAAAAAAAAAACATTGCTGATGATATTAATATATAAATCGAAATGAATTTGTGCTTTTTTGGGGAAGTGCGCCATACCTATTAAGCTATAAATTTTGTTAACCTGATATCGATAATATAGATAATATATATGCTAGTTAACCTGATACAGATATAACGTAATTTTGTGATAACTTTATATAGACATAATATATTTTTGTTAACCTTATAAGGATATAACGTAATTTCTTACTAACTTTATATAGATAATGTATATTTTGCTAACCTTATTTAGATAATATGTATTTTGTTAATCTTATATGGATAATATGTATTTTGTTAATCTTATATGGATAATATACATGTATATTTTGTCAACCTTTTATAGATGATATATATATTTTCTTAATCTTTTATAGATAACATATATTTTGTCTACTTTATAAAGATAATATATATTTTGTCAACCTTATATAAATACCATATATTTTGTCAACTTTAAATAGATAATATATGTTTGTTCAACCTTATAAAGATAACTAATATTTTGTTAAACTTATATGGATAAAACGTAATATTTGGCTTATGTTATTAAGATAAATATGTATTGATAACTTATTAGCATATGATCGATATCTCGCTATTTTCATATAGATATAATATAATTTGGTAAACCTTATATGAATATAACGTAATGCCTTGCTTACTTCATATAGATAATTATAGATAATAATGATTATTATTATTCGTGGTTCTGATATACCGCTTTATCACAATCTAGTTCGTAGGTCGTCTCAAAGCGGTTCACAAATTATTATCTGTGGTTATAGGGCCTTTGCACCCAGCCAATATCTTTCTCAACTCCCTGGGGAGCATACAGCCGGAGCTGCCATTTCGGCGCTAACAGCTAGCATTTAACAGTTCTAGCGCTGCCCAACCACGTACTCATTTACAGCTGAGTAGACTGGCACAAGCAGAGTAAAGTATCTTGCTCACGAGCCCGGCGTCATACCACTAGACTACCGTGATTCCTCATAACCTTATATGGACATAACGTAATTACTTGGTAACTTAACGTCGATTACATAAATTTAAATCGCTACCTGTGTGGATGGCAAGTCCCAGTATCAAGATTGTCACGGCCGTTTTCATCATTCTTGTAGTTAATGTAGTTAAGGTAAGTCCGTTGTGGGAATATGTCTGCCAGGGGGGTAGCACAGTGTCCGGCAAGCACGTAGGAGCTGACCGGCAAGACCAAACACAACGTTTTATAGTCGTCCACTCTCGAAAAGGTCATATTTCATGGGTATTAAAGCATCAGGTTATAAATGTTGTGACATGGCGTGACAGACCAGGTGAGATTATAGCTTTATCCTGACACCGGTCACATGCTCGCCAATACACAAAGCACCTATGCATATCTACATCCCTGGTGCATGATTTACAACTAGTGCCTAGTTTAATTAATAACACTGTCATATACACATTCTATATGTAACTTGTGTAGCAGTAAACATTATGTAAGTATTCAATATTGAATATCAATAACACATTCATATAAATTATGTTGGCATACTGGTGCCTCAAGTGAAATTCAGTCGAGATAATTATGTCGCCAAACGTATCCCGCTAAGTCGATTTGCCATGATTATGTCGATTCATCACGACAATCGAATCGACCTATCGTGATTATTATCATGATTGTTCTCATTATATCGCTGTTATGCTATTTTTTTCAATTTAGTTTGAAAGCTTTTCTGGTGAGTTGACATAAATACACTGTAACAGAATTTGTCGCCGAAATAATAATTTATGTTACATCTATATGTGTCGACTTACCCGGATAGCTACCATGACCCGCTGACTGAATTATCATAACGGCAGGATAACCATAATAAAAACTCGACATAATTATCATGACAAGTCGACATAGCGATATAGGTTTGGCAACTTAATTATCTCGACGAAAATAAACATTCAGTATGTAAGTTGTCTTTGCAGTAAAACCAGTATTTGATTTTAGGGAAAATGTGATGAATTCTGGAAACATTTTGAATTGCAATACAATCATATAGCCTGCTGGAAACTTATTAAATATTACGTTAATCGCAATGTATTTCATGTAATATTGGTGTGAATATTCAAATCGTATCACGCTGCTTGAGTATTAATCCATGGCTTAGCAAGTGTGTAAACACCGTTATAGTTACAGGGCATCCTGAGATGGCAACATCAATTCTGATATCTGTTTCTAACTGGTCTCCCGACCATTTACACACAAATAAATCTTAACCTGAGTACCACTCTCTGTCGCCAGTCACGTCATGACATGGCATTCGACCTTGAACTTGAGCTTGGCAGACATATCTTTTCGAAGGATCGAATGCCATCACGTGCTCCTTGGTAATTAGGAAACAATAAACACAACCTCAGCCATAACAAAGGTGTATAATGCCTATTTACTGTACAGTATACCAATACACCTGTGTAGACCCCAGGCCGTTGATGTTTTGATTTGTTTACGCGAGGTGGACCTGATGGACGGATGATGTATCGACATTGACATAAACCACAAATCATGACGTCAGCACGGTTGTCAAAAGGTCCAACAATCTTACCGATGTTTTTCTCGGGTGCTTAACTTCAAAATTCTTACTCGATGGTTGAAAATTCTGTCCAAACATTATGCAGGAGTGATCGATTATTTTCTTCCGACACATTCCCATCATAAAAATAAAATGTAACTGGAAACCAATGGACCGTGTCAATATCAATGGTTCATGAAATATGTGACAGAATTGATGAGGCGATCTTGTTTACGAAGCATTAAATGACGATGCGAAGGTGACGTTTATCGAATAAGAGCGTGCAAACACAGGTATGAACCTTTGAAACGTCTTGTTTCGTATTAACAATCTAGCTGTATAATTAGTAGATTACTAAAATGATCAACAACAGAGGTAGATGCGAGTTAAAACACTGAGTTCCATACTTCTGTGTCGAGAGATAATGTTAGGTTTGTACGGTTTTTAACAGGTGCTTTATTTCTGCGCATTTCGAGTGATGATTTTTCCGTAACAATTTTGTTTTTCTGCTTAATATTGGAATAGCAGTATCTATAGGTTTTTAGGCACCCTTTCCAATTCGACGCTTTCTACACATAACTATAGTACGTGATATGTTTAACTAATGGATAGTTTAACCATGGAAGTTTCAATCTTTTGACCTTAAGTACCGTTGGCGAGTCTAAAATAGACGAAATATCCATCAGTGTTGCAATATAATATATATTTTTGTGGGTTTTTTTTTTTTATCTAAACAAACCTTTTTTGAAAAGTTGCACCAATTCTTTCTATTTCTGGTAACTTTGCTGTTGGACTCTCTGTCCATCAGGTCAGCTGTAGCTTCGGAGCTAAAATCCTTCTCGGTAGTGTTAACATACAATACTAGTTTATGTTTAAATTGTCTGTCCAAAAGGTTTGTATTTGTACCGTCGTTAGGGGGTTTATATGTACCTTTCCATTTTCGATTTATTCTACGTATGTTTCCGAACACTTCAGACCTGCGTTTTTCATCCTGTTTACCTGTAAACCCACAGAAAACTTCTAATGTACAAAATGGAAACGTGATTCAGTAAAATGGACACATGTTTTAGTCAAATGGACACGTGTTTTAGTAAAATGGACATGTGTTTAAGTGAAATGGACACGTGATTCAGTAAAATGGACACGTGATTCAGTAAAATTTACACGTGATTCAGTAAAATGGACACGTGACTCAGTAAAATGGACACATGATTCAGTAAAATGGACACATGATTCAATAAAATAGACACGTGATTCAGTAAAATGGAGACACGTGTTTTTGTCAAATGGACACGTGATAGGACACGTGATTCCGTAAAATGGACACGTGATTCCGTAAAATGGACACATGATTCAGTAAAATGGACACTATGTTTTAGTCAAATGGACACGTGTTTTTGTCAAATGGACACGTGTTTTAGTAAAATAGACATGTGTTTTAGTGAAATGGACACGTGATTCAGTAAAATGGACACGTGATTTAGTAAGATGGACACGTCTTTTAGTAAAATGGACACGTGATTGGACACGTGATTCAGTAAAATGGACACGTGATTCAGTAAAATGGACACATGATTAAGTAAAATGGACACATGATTCAGTAAAATGGACAGGTGATTCAGTAAAATGGACAGGTGATTCAGTAAAATGAACACGTGATTCAGTAAAATGGACACATGTTTCAGTAAAATGGACACGTGTTTAAGTAAAATGGACACGTGATTCAGTAAAATGGACACATGATTCAGTAAAATGTTTTCTTTGCTTGACTTTCTGTACCTACAAATAAGTATTTAGACATGTACTTCATGTCTTCGTATTTCTTGTGAATATTTCTCAAAAATGAAAAAGTTTGAATATTCGCCTTCTTCCACTAACGTAATTGATCTTCTTGTTTTTATGTTTTTTTATACCGAATAATAGATATTAAAACAAAAGGACCGACCCCGTACAGAGCTTTAGGTCGTTGACAAGGAAACAGACAGATATGACTCATCAACCTATCTTGTCACATGTTAAAGACATCAAACTCATTTGTAAACAAAACCGGTGCATTAAGTCAAATATGTAGTGATAAATTGCTCCTAGTATTTTAACAACAAAGCAATGTTCCCACAAAGAAATCTCTGCGGTAACATAAATAACACCCTGCCAGATTTTCATCATGATTGTATCCAAATCCAAACTAGTAAAAACATATCAAAGATATCAAACGGATTCTCGAAGATGAAGGCGCCGCGCATAATTGCATTAGATCTAAACCGCTTTTCAATGAAGTGGATCACCCATTGATTCCCTGCCGAACATTGACATCACTGCATTATATTATTGCATGTTCCTGTCTTCAGGGAAAAGGCACCGCCTACATCAAACGGAAATCAGCGTTTAGCCTCTAAACAAAGTGTCGTTAGAACAGTGGCCCTAGAGATTAACAACATTAAGATTTTATCAGTATTCCAAATTATAACATTGTTTCCTGAATGTAAAAATCACGTGTGTCGTAAACGATTTTTATTTGATTTTAAAAGTGAATTACAAAGGCATGACAAAATAGTTCATCATAAAAGAACAAGCGAAATACAAGGAGATAAATGACTGACAATTTATCTCTAATGTCTAAAAAGAACGGTTGCATCTTTCTCCCAGTGGTACAATTTGTCAAACGTTTTTTAAAAGAAGCAGAGGGGAACTAAACTAAGGGGAATTAACTGTACGACACTGTCTAGTCATCGGTCACACTAATATACCTCTGTGTCGTGTGACAATGATAATGACTGTCTTACACGATCGTATAATAAAGTATAGCATAACATCATGCGGTCTATTACATGTACATGTACCACCTCTATAACAGAGTATGACGTCATGGTCTTACACGATCGTATGATAAAGTATAACATAACACCATGCCGTCTATTACATGTACCACCTCTATAACAGAGTATGACGTCATGGTCTTACAGTCCGATCGTATGATAAAGCCATTGCGTTATATAATTCCCACATACTTATTTTATTTGATCCCTTTGAAAGCTGTAGCGAATTTGAATCAGTTTAAATCGCGATATGCACGCAGCCAAGGGAGTTAATTGAATAGACCAGGCAGAATTAATGACAGTTTACTCAAGGGAGGTAAGCCAAAGTCGTTGTCGTTTGCTTTTCTCATAATAGAAATGAGTACTCGGGGGAGGTCTGAAAACAATTTGATTTAATACGATTAGCGTGCAATTCCGTGGTTTATCGTACGATTCCCCATAGTCATTCATTTCTGGATCTCTGCTCATTTGGTGTCTCGGACAGTGATTACGTCAGAGAGATATGTACGGCGTAATAACATTAGTAAACTCATTTATTAGCTTATACCCACATCGCAGGGAGGAGGTTGCAATTAACATTTGAAAGTCATCATGGAAATTATATGTTGTATTGGTGAGTCCATGTTGATACGTCAGTGACAGACTGTGGTGATGGTGTTTGGTTATTTATAGATGAGTCATGTGTTAACGCTGACTGGACACGTCGGTCAACCAATGGCAAAAGACTACAGTATGTTCATGCTCAAACGACAGTATAATGTAGCTGATAATCAGCCAATGATGTACGAGGACAGTATTCTTTGACTGATAATCAACCAATGGCGTACGAGTATGGCATTCTGTGC